TTCTTTCTGGAACTTTCTGTGTGAATCTATACGGAGGTTCTACTTTATATGTATCATTGCATTATATGAGTTATAGAAATAGAGAGGCATAGAAATGTAGTGACGGTAATGTCACTTGCTTATTTAGCACTGCTTCACCTCTTCTTCAGAGAGGTTCGCAGTGTATTGAAGAATTAAATTTCTCGTTTTTTCTTACAACGGCAAAAGTTCTCATAATTAAACTGAATTATCACATGCGCTTTTGTGCGAATGCTTGGAAAGTTTGATTTCACCTCTCAACGCCATTTTGAAGGGAAAAAGGCAAAAGGCCATAACATCCCACCGCTGTGCTTCCTCATAGCAACGCAAAAAACAACCAACTTACCATTTTTGACTACAGAATCGCTCATATGTACCTAGTGTCTAGCAGTCAACACAATAACGGCTGATAACTGCGCTTTGACTTTCAAGGACATATGAACTAATTTCATGACAGACAAAGAACCGCACACGCACACATGCAGACATACTTAATGCTTTATTATAAGTTGATATTATTGGCTGTATCAAAAGGGAAAAAAGAAATTTGATAAAATAGAAAGTGATGGGAAATTTATGTGACATTATTACAAATATGAAGGTGACAAACAGCACAACTACCAATCAATACATTCAATAAAAATTCACAGAAAGAGCAAGTGCGTTATGTGAAAATTCTTCGTCGACCCAGTTGAGCATATGTATTCATAGTATTAATTTACGTGCTCATTCGCATGAAACTCCATCATATTCAACTTTACGTAGCTCCTATGCTGGAGTAACCTTCATTAGTTGCCATATAGAGTTGTCAACATGCTCGCAACTCAAAATGCGAGGTAGACTACCACTGCTCCTGGAATCCGAAATTCTTCCTTGCACTTACATTTTCGTCTTAACTTTACTGGGTACTTCAGACCTAACCATTCCGTCAACCTTCAAAGTCCAAAACAACCACACAATCATCCTTTCCACGTTGAATTTTGTGCTTTTTTAGTTAGTTAGTTTTTATGATGGTATGACTCGGCATCATAAATAGTTCTCAAGAACCTTTTCGAAAACAAACTATTTATGATGCTGAGTCATACCATTGTGCATTCCTCAGTAATGATTAATATAGTTAATGAGCAGTCTGGTTAGCTGCAATCAGTTCCACCCTTCACATATTTCCTCGTTATAGTTCCGCTTTTCAGTTTTTCCGCGAACATCAGTTCTCCGCCCCAACCACGTCATATGATATAGTGAGATATGCTATTTCAGTGATAACTGGTCAATCGAAGACCTTCTCACTCTCAATAATCTCCAGGCGCGCCTTGTTC